CGCGTGCTGTCACGCCTTGCACACGTGGCAGCCAAAGATGCGGTTGACCAGCTTGCAACAAGGGAAAGACCTGCCTGCCTATAGTGCGCGTCCAAGAACACCCTACTGGCATCGTCAGAGAAAGAGTACTAATATCCAGAAGCGTGGGCGAAGCTGACTGAAAGGTATCAACAACCACGCATACATCACCATGCCGCATGCGCCCCCGGTGCGCACAATCAATGCGATAGGAATGGGTGCCATCCAAGCCTTCAACCCACGCATGAATGTCGGCTGCAGGATTGCGCCAGTCAACATCGAGGCATTTCCACGAACCTGCCCGTGCCACCAGGATGGTGCTGTGCGTGTCTGCACTGGAGGTAGCAACCATATGCACAGCTCTATGGTCCGGTGCCGCGGCCGCAGGCAGGATGACATACCTGCCTAGGGCGGATATAGTCTCAAGGAGGTCAGCGTGCACATCATACCACGGCCATTGCGCCGGGTAGCACCGGGTAAGGACCCTCCCGGGGTGCCACAATTTGAATGTGACTTCACGCGGATCATCGTTGCCGAGGGGGCTAGGGCTGATAACAGGCGTGAGAAGCCTGCCAGAGGCCAGCAACTCTCGCTGAATTGCCGCATGGGTGGCCTGAGAGGCCTTGTTGGGCAGGTTGCAGGGAGGAGCTGGCACCCGCTGTAACCTACCACTGCGGTGTGGTGGAGCACTGGCAGCGCGTCCGGCATGTGCTTGGCTGGCACCCACCACAAGCAGTAGGCACATAGTGCCGACAGGTCCCCGTAGCGGCGCTGCCGCCAGGAGTAGGGCTTTTGCCAATATGGCTCCCCGCGGAGCAGCGTTTTCAGAGTCACTCCCAATTGGCACCTCGACTAGTGTGTGTCGATAAGCTCGTAGCAGATCAAAACCAGCCACATCAAGCATGACATCAGGCTCAACGGCCTGATCATGAAGCAAACAGATATAATCCCCAGACATCACATGTTCATGCATGGCTGCCGTGTCCAAGATGCGAGCATGGTCTCTCGCAGTTACATCGAGGATTTGGTTGCACGATATGTATCGGGGCACCGTGAGAGTAAGCAGTCCAAGGTCCAATGCACGTAGATCGACAACCAAGGAATGCCTTCCGAGTTCCTCACGGCGGAAGGCTAGGAACTGCGTTGGCGGCAGGTCAGTTAGCGCATACCGCATGCGGCGCATAGTCAGGGAAGCAAGCTCAGGAAATTCGTCCCGGAGGATGCGAAAAGTCTCGCTATCAGGGGCAAAGGCCGGTAAGAGTGCATGGATGATGCCATTGGCAGTGATTATAGCGCAGGACAAAAGGGTATGGCTGAGAGGACCCTGATTGCTGTGCACAGCTGCATGAGGAGATTGGGCACTGGCTTCGATCAGACGCCTTCTGAGCGCAATCGGCGTCCAGACAATCGCATCACAACGTGGCTGCAAAAGAGGTTGGGAATCGGCCACAAACGTACCCTCCACGCACTGACACTGCTCAGCTTCCGGGATGGACTGCATCTGAGTGAGCAGCGCTGCCGCTGCGATGAGATCATGGCACTGTTCATCCCTTGCTGCTTGTAGCACATGGAAGCTGTCGAGCTCGCCTCGCACCAAAACAGGCACGGCTTGCGCATACCAGGGGAAGGAGCGAGGCCGGAGGACATACTGTTCGCGAGTGACAGAGTCAAACGGCGAGGCCAGCATCAACACGTCAACCGCATCTGCGGAGATGCCGAGGGCCTGCACAATGGCTTCATCAAGTGCGGGTCGGAAAAGGCGGCTGTCAACTCTGAAAAGGATAGGCTCGGGGCCTTCAACTACTCCCCCGTGGAACACGGCAAGCTTCCGTGTATAGGTTGCCGTGCACAATTCTTGCATCGCTAGAGCCAACTTCTTCCAACGGGTGCAGCTCACGCCGTATACGAATACGTGGGACTCGGCTGAGGGACCAGGCCGGAATTCGGTTGAAGTGGGCCTGACCCGCTGCCTGCATCATGAAAGTGCCATCGGCCTCAGTGTTGTCGGGCATCGATACAGCGCCCTCATCCTGTCTGACGTACTCAGGACTATGGATTTTAGGCGGACCCGATGCTCCAGCCGGTGAGAACAGCAGACAGAGGAAGAGGCACCCCTTCATCTGTTTTACAGCAGTCTCCCTTGTTCTCTTATTCCTGCACCAAGGCTCTCGCCGCGTATGTTGGGGCGGCAGGGCAGGTGAGAGGAGGCCGAGGAGGAATACTCCTATCGGGAGCCAGGCTACCACAACCATCAAGAGGCAAGGTGTAAGGGCAAGCCCACATCCCATGGCAGCTAAGAGCAAACATAGGACCTGGTGCTCACTGGGCAAGCCGTAGTCCCGCTGACCAAGGGGCTTGAGATGGGGTGGATCGGCAAGAGTAGTCCACGCACAACCCAAGAGGACTCCAACGGACAGTGCCGCCAAGAGAAATTCCGTGCCTTGGACGGCAATGCAGCCTCCACATCCAAGGCAGTGTCCTATAAACCAGAGAAATCTGACACTAACGAAGGTGCCGCGTCCTGAGGGCGGTCCAAGGCCTCTGGCTGCTGAGGTAGTACCCGCAAAAATGCACACTAGGCAGGCAAGAAGGGACATGCGCACGTTTGCAGCAGGGCGTGGTGCGGAAGGGCTGGAGTGCTGGCACCCAGGCGTGCCGCCAAGTCGGGGTGCTTCCCGAGAACCAGTTGTGGGAACAACCATTCTTCTGTGCATTGTGGCGTGTATGACATGACGTCCTGAACCGCAGCGTGAAGAATGTGGCCTATGAGGAGCACAGCTTGGGGACAGTCCGGAACAGCGGCTGGGCAGCTTTTTAGGCACGAGTAACAGCGCATCAGGTCTTCGACCGCAGTCGCAATCTCCGGCCCGCATGCCCAGGGGTGCTGCTGCAAGCTCCGCAGCGTGCTCTGACATTGGTTGCGGACCTCGTCGGTGTCCATGTGCGGTGGCTCGGGGAGCACCTCCTGCAACGCCGGGTTGCTCTGAGCCGCAGTGGCAGCAGCTCCACACATGTCCATAAGTTGCCCCACCGACGTGTTCCATGCCGTGATCCAACTCAGTTGCCACTGCTGCCAGTCTTCCTCGACCGCTGAAAGGGGGGCTTCCATCTCCTCTCCCCCCAGAAAGGAAATTGGCTCGCTGAAACCATCGGATCCATCCAGCTCCACCGGTGCTGAATGGGCAGGTGTCATCCAAGACGAGGTTGGGCGTGAGGAACGGGTGGGGGTTCTGCCAGTGCTGTCCTGCGGCCATGGCACGGCTTCTGGCGCTCCAGCCAGTGGGCCGTGGTCTTGCGTGCTTGCCATGGCTGTGTCGGCCTGGCCTTGTGTCCCTGTGCCCGTAGATGTCAACCTTGGGCTCTTCACCGGCCGTCTGTCTTCCTCGAGTAAGGGCTGCGAACGTTTTGTCCAACGATTTTCAGAGACAGGGAGAGGCTGGACTCTGCGGCTTTCTGTTACCATCGTTGGGGGACCTGAAGTCAGCATAGCCCCAGGGAAGATGCCCCCATCGAGACCTGGCGGTTGTCGCCTGGCATGTTGGCCACCAACCATCTGCGTCGGGGCCGGGACCGAAGGGACCCCACCGCCAACTATCGGAGCGCGGTTGTGCCCCAGTGGATCCAGCGCAGCTACTGCCCGAAGAGCGTTGGCCGCCACCTCGAGCAAACCAGTCACTTGGGGTGGCCAAATAGGCCCTGCATTCTGCGCGCCTTTGTGCAGCAGAGCCTGGGTGGCAGCCGAGGTCGTAGTGGAGACCAAAGGCGTTAGTATCTCACTTCTTTGACATCTGCATCCAGTTGTCCCGCCAAGCGCTCCACCTCCGCATAGTTGGTGGGCAGGTGCTCCGCAAGCTGGGAGTGCCATTGGAGAGCCGCTTCGCCCAAGTCCTGCTTCGCACGGAGGTCTGCTTCCAATCTCTTGGTAGTTTTGGCAACTTGTGTCGCCAGCCAGTTGGCCTCTTGTGCTAAGGTGCGTTTGCCAGCATGTTGTTCTTCGGCAGCTAGCACAGCATTTTGTGCCCGGCCAGCGCGTGCTTGGAGGGCCGAAACCACACTCGCAGGTGGTACAAACCGCACCGCCGACAGCAAGGGTGCCACGGCTTTGGTTTTCCCAGCACCCTTCGGCTGGCCCTTCGATCCAGTCTCCTTTCGGCTCTGTGGCGGCATGGATCCGTGATGTCGTAGAAGACGGAGTCGATCGTTTGGTCTGCCGCGGCCAGTCTTCAGCCGACACCGCGCCACTTGGCGCTTCTTCCGTAGCCGACGATGCCACCGTTGCAATCCTGGAGGTTTGTCCAAGTTAGGGGAAGCAAACAAGCCAATGCAATGATCTTGATGAGGACTCGCTGTCCTCTCATGTGCTGCGCGTCCCAGATCAGTCGGCCCAGGAAAGGCAGCGAATAACCAGGGAAGCGCAGTGGTATCAGGGTGACGGCCCAAAAAGGCAGCGTAACCCAATAGGGGGATGAAAAATCCCGGTGGCGGATCCAGTACCCAACCACCAGCCAGCAAATCGATCCAGGACCAGTGCCAGCAATTCGGGGCCCCGCGACCCTTACAATCAGCGCGGGCCAGCCGCGCAGACCAGAAGTACCGGACCCAAGCCCGGTATATGGCGGCAGGAAGCTAGGCCTGCCTGGGGTCTGGCTGTTGTAGATCCGCAGGCGCTGCTACGAGCAGAGGCTACGGAAAGACACAATCTAAGCCGAAACGCCTAAACATCAAGCCCTAAGAGCCCTAGAAACCCTTAAGCTGTACCTGCAGAAAGCCTTTAGTCCTCAGAAACCCGGAAGCCCTACAAGCTAAACCCTACGGGCCCCAAACCCTGAAGACCTGAAGCCCCCAAAGCCCGAAGCCTAAGACCCCAACCCCCCCGAGAACACTAAACCCTAAACCCTAAACCCTATGTAAACTCTACAACCCTTAACCCCCAAAGACCTATTGCGTTCTATGTCTGTTCTCGCGCGCGAGACTCGTGGCAGGTGTCCGTCAAGGAAGGTGCGGAGACGGCGCGGCAGGAGATCTCTGCGAGGGCGGAGGCCGGGTTGTTGCCCGAGTTCTTAGTAGGCAATGAGGGAATGAGGGCCGGGCCCTCATTCCCTCATTGCCTACTAGAACCAGCCAGTGGTCCCAGGAACAGGAGATGCTGCTCAGCAAGCTGCTACAATACTGCTAGAAAGCACAGTTGCAATGTTCTACATAGAGAGAGCGTCATCGAGACGTTGAGGTGGACGTACACATAGATGAACTAAAGGGGTTCAGGAAGGGCTTTCAGTTGATGTCTGGGTCCCTCAGGAACCCTTTTAACGGGTTTTTGTAGGGGGATGTTGAAGCACCCAGTGCCTCATTTCCCGACTTCCCCAAGTCCCTGTGTTCTCTGGGCTGGAGCGGCCAATCGGGGGCAACATCTTCTCGAAACCCACAGCCCCGAACCTCAACGAGCAAACCGTGCACTCAAGAGCCTCTGCAGCATGTGTCCGGTGAAGAGTATCCATCCTAAACCCTACACCCTAAACCCTCAACCCTCAAACCCTCAACTGTAGAATGCCCCCCTCCCCTACAGTCGCAGTTTGTGCTTGTGGATATTCTCAATGGGAATTTGTGGATGACAAGCTCGAGGGGTTTTTGGGGTTTGCTTAGGGGGGGGATTAGGGTTTAGGGATGTTAGGGTTTAGGATGGGTTTTGGGGGTTTGGGGCCTGTTCACTTCAGCCCTGAGCCCACCTACCTCTCGAAGATGTCGGACTTCGGGGCAGGTCTCCAAAGAGACCGTGAAAGGACACGTGCAAATTCAGGACGGCCCCCCCCACAACCCCTAAACCCCCTCAAACCCCCTCAAATAAACCCCGAGCCACGTAATCCTAAACCCTAAACCCTAAACCCTAAACCCTAAACCCTGAACCCTGAAGCCTGAACCCTAAACCCTAAACCCTAAACCCTAAACCCTCAACCCTAAACCCTAAACCCGAAACCCTAAACCCTAAACCCTAAACCCTAAACCTGGCTGAGTGGGAGGGGATCAGGGACTCCCCAAGGCCTAAATCTGTTGAGGGTTCTTGGCAAGAGGTCCGGGCGTGAACTCTGTGGGGGAGTTCAGGAATCTGGTATCTTAAGCCCTGAACCCTATTTAGGGTTGAGAGTTTAGGGTTAATGGGCACTTGAAGCCCTAAGCCCCCAACTCCGTCATGCCTTGCCGATCGCACAGGGCTCCTTGCGCGCTGAAGCCTCTGCTTAGGGTGGAGTGTCGGGTTTTGCAGTTGCTGGTGCAAGGTTTGGGGGTTAGGGTCATGAACAAACCCTAAACCCTGCACTCTAAACCCTACATCCTAAACCCTACACCCTAAACCCCAAAGCCCTTCAGGCTTCGGGGGGGTTTCGGGCTTGGGGTCGGCTCACTGGACATCTGGAACCCGAACGTCCACTCTAGCAACGCGATGCCCCTGAGCCCACCGTCGAGCTCTGCTTCTATCGTTGGTCCTTGTGAAGCTGAAGACCTAAAGGCCCCTGAAGCCCTCCGCGCCCCTCAGCCCTAAACCTCGAAACCCCTGAACCCTAAAACCACTCAACCCCAAGCAGGAGGTTCAATCCCGGGTGCAGCAGTCCAGCCGGAAGCCAAGACCTTCCTGGGCGGTTCGAAGTTGGGTTAGAAGTAAAAGCACCCCGGAAGGTTTAAATCCCAAATATATACCGGCTATCATGGTTGCCCCACTTATCGCCGCCCGGTTGAGTAGGGTCGAGGAGCTTTGGGGGTTTAGGAGCTTAGGGTTTCAGGGGTGCGGAGTGGAAGGGTTCTGCACGGGGTTTAGTGATTTAGGGCCTTGGGTTTCTTTCGACCTTCTTGAAACCTTGTGGCCAAAATCTGAGGTTCAAACTTTTGGCAGTGGGCTTGGAGCTGAGACCAGGCGTGGGTGGCCATTCTTTCGCACCTGCTCCCTACCTTTTGTATTTTGAATGGGGGTTATGGGTAGGGTAAAGTTACAAGGCTGCTTTTGGAAATAGTCCTACCGCTCACTACCCGTGAACCTCCAAGTACAGCCACAACATCTCCAAGCCCTAAACCCATCCAGTCCCTCCTCGAAGCTGCAAAATAACATGACACAAGACTAGCAGAACAACAGTCATGCCCCCAAGGCCATATCACATGCCCCCAAAGCCCTGAACTCGACAGGGTTGGCTGTCTGAGCTGTGTGTAGTCCTTGCACGGTTCCTGATCCTCGTAGCTAGGTCTTCAAGAGGACCATCATGTAGATTTACAGCCAACTCCGAAAGGATCCTATGGTCTCAGGCCTGACTCTCCCAGACCCATCTTGCTGAGCCCCGATGCGCCGAGTTTCCATGCCAGTTCCCCGCATCTCTGTGGTTCCTAAACTGCAAAAAGCTCCGTGTGACACTTGAAAAGAAACAGTCATTTTCACCACGGCCTATGCACTTTCGTCCGAGTCACGGCACGCCCGAGCGCTCCTTGAGCCCGATGGCCATCAGACTCTAGAGCCCGAACCCTCAACTTTACGAATTCAAGAACGCCCGCAACAAAAACCAAAAGGTTTAGGGTTTAGGGTTTGGGGTTTGGGGTTTAGGGTTTAGGGTTTAGGGTCCCGAAGAGCCATGGCAAGCGCAGGGTGTGCCTTCTGTGCCTCCGCGCCGCAGCTCTCAACCCAGCTTCCGGCTCCCCTGCGCGCCCCGAGAGCAAGGACCGCAAGCCCCCCCGAGACTGAGCTGCCGCTAAGGGACTTAAGTCAAGAGGCTTAGTCAGGGTTTTTGGGACTGAAATTAGGTTACCAGTAGTATGGGCCTGTGGTAGTTATTAAACAACACTTTTCATGGGGTGACCCAGCAGAGTCTCCTTCAAGCCAACCCAGGTGTCCCCTGGCCTGCGCTGTGTTTTGGCCTCCTTCAGTCTGGGAAGCTGCCTGGCGCCGCGGCTGCGCCGGCGAGCGGGGAGAGACGCTTCCGGGAGCCTTGAAGAGCAGGGCCCCTTTTGTTGCGCTTGGAGCTTAAAACGGGGGTTTCCGAAATTTGGGGGTCCTTGTGATAAGGGAATCCGACTATGTGGGGGACTGTTATATTCGGGGTCCTCATGTTCGTCAACCCTTAAATGCTCAGGCGCCATAAGAAAACCAAAAAATAGTGTTGCTGAACTAACCTATAGAGTTGAAGTTACGACACGAAAGGAAGCCATATTATACTGGTATCTACTTTGCAGCCAGGTCTTTTTGGGTTCTTCTAAATTAGCTTCCTAAAAAAAGCAGCCAACCTAGGCTCCGGTGGCTCAGAGGCTCCATCGACCGGCAAGGACACCTCCACCCCAGCCGCGCGGGATGCGAAGACCCGCAACAGGTGGCGGTGTGGAGCCTTCTAATAAGGCCCGCAAAAGCCCCCAAGAAGCCCAGTCAAAACCCAAAAGCCCGAGAAAGGACCTGTAAAGCCCTATCAAGCCCTAGAAAGCCCTATGCAGCGCTCTAAAGCCCTGTAAAGCCCTGTAAAGCCCTGAAGCCACGCCTGAAGATGGCCACATCCCGAGGTGGCTCAACTTGCTGGAGCGGCTCTTCCGGGACCTGGGGGAGGTGAGCTCTCGGCCGCGCCGCGACGCCACTCGACGCTTGTGGGAGGGTGTGGGCTCCGAGAGGACCTGAGGGGCGAGTCCAAGAAGTTGGGTCCGAAAGGCCATGCTGGCCTCCAAGGGCAGTCCTGCGCCTCAAAATAACCGGCTCGGACTTGAGGTCGCGAGCTCGCATTCCTCTAGATCACGTTTTGCCTACTTCGTGGGCTGATTTTTAAAAAGCTATCAGTTCGCCAGAAATTAATTGTCGGCTCAGTTGTTCATTCCTTTCCCCCCCCCCCCCCCCCCCGCTCTTTTTTGCTGCCCTCCTCCGAGGCGACCTACTGGGGCCTGGTGTTGGGCTCCCTGGCGCTGGCGGTGGTCAGCGACTTCCTCGGCGTGATGAGGTTGGATCCCACTGAGCTCGGAACCTTTTCGCCTTAAACCTGGGATGCTCGCCCCCTCCCCCCCCTCCCTTGCAAAGAGCCCCCCCACCCCCCCCTGTGTGTTGGACACGCAAGGGCTATTTAACATAATAGGTTTCTTTTGAGGTCTCATTGCGGGTAGGCCGCTGAGCCCGCTGAGGCCGCTCACGCTGAGGCCCGCTGAGGCCGCTCAGGCCGCTGAGCCCGCTGAGGCAGGCTGCTGAGCCCGCTGCAGCAGGCTGCTCAGGCCGCTGGGCCCGCTGAGGCCGCTCAGGCCGCTGACTCTCTCAGGCCGCTGAGCCCGCTGAGGCCGCTCAGGCCGCTGAGGCCGCTCAGGCCGCTGAGCCCGCTGAGGCCGCTGAGATCGCTGAGCCCGCTCACTGTACTGGAAAAGAGTACTGCGTCAAATGGACGCGAAGCGTCCAAGGCACCCCCCACCCCCGTGATGATGTGATGAATTTACAAAACGGGGGACCCTGGGCGTGTGCCTCCTGTCTACATGCATAGGGGCGAACAGGCCCCTCCCATGTCTTCCTATCTAAAGACAGATACTAACCTCTCGAACCCTAGGCTCGGATGCTCCCGGAATGACGGTTGTAGAAGACTTTGGCTGCCGTTGTCAGCTACTCATGCGTACCCATGAACCATCAGGTCGACCCTAGACCCAAAACCCGAAACCCTAAACCCTAAACCCTAAACCCTAAACCCTAAACCCTAAACCCTAAACCCTAAACGAACCCTGAACCCTAAGCCCTAAACCCGAAACCCCAAACCCTAAACCCGACACCCTGCAGGTTTCTGCTGAGCCTGAACCCCGGCGGTGCACGAGATCTGGGCCTGGACGAGGTGTACCCGGTGGAGGGCCTGAAGACGCACCCTTGCACGAGCTTGAGCTCTGTAGGGATTAGGGTTTAGGGTTCTAGGGTTTCAGGGTTTTCGAGGTTTCAGGGCTTGAGGAGGTTGTGTAGGCTGTTGGGTGGCTGTCAGGGCTGAGGGTGGAGGAGCTCCGAAGAAGGTCAGAGCTTCGGGTTCAAGAGTTGAGCAGTGCTTGGGCTTGTTGGGTGGAGGGTACGGGGGGGGTTCTTGTGCAGTCTACTGTACCATGAAGTTACAAGGAGGGTTATACGTACCCACTTGAGTTCCCAACCAGCGATAGGTTTGGTTGACTGGCCTTTGCCTACTTCAATCCCCAGCCTCTTCCTATCTGTGAACCTACGGCCTCAGGGCGTAGGGTCGGGTGAGGGTTTGGGGCCTAGATTGTCTCTTCAAGATTTAACCCAAGAACCCCAAAAGACTCTGAAGACCCCGAAAGACTCCAGGTATCGCCAGCGGGGCCGATACCGGCTCCGCTATCCCGGCGAGTGGCTCTTCGACCAGAGCGTGGCCTTCTCCAAGCAGGCGGCCCTGGAAGTGCCGACGCTGAGGCTGGGGGGGGCTTTGGGGGGGGGGGGGGGGGCTTTGGGGGTCCAGGGTTTCGGGTTTAGGGTTTGAGTTTTTTTGGGGGGGGGGGGGGGGGTGGGTGGGTGGGTGTGTGGGTGTGTGGGTGGGTGTGTGTGCAGGATTTTAGGCGCAGGGTTTAGGTTCAGGGTTTGAGGTTTTGGGTTGAGGCTTACAGTTCTCAACCCCGGAAGCCCGGAAGCCCGGAAGCCCCAAGGCCCACCAACAGCCCGAAGGGCCCCAAAAGCCCCGAAGAGCCGTGACTCTGTTCTCAGGCAGAAGAAGCGCATCGTCCCAGATGCGGCTTTCGGGCCTGCAGGTGGTGGCCTGGCGACGGCTGCCACGGCGCAGAACCTTTCTGTGGTGCGCTGGGGGGGGGGGGGGGGGGGGGGGGGGGGGGGGTTTAGGTTTTAGGGTTTAGGGTTTAGGGTTTAGGGTTTAGGGTTTAGGGTTTAGGGTTTAGGGTTTAGGGTTTAGGGTTTAGGGTTTAGGATACCTTACGACGACTTCAGCCCGAGACTGTTGCTGTAAGGGGAGACATCCGAAGTTGCGGATGTTTCCTTCTCTTGGAAAAACCTATGCCTGCTACCCTAAACCCTAAACCCTAAACCCTAAACCCTAAACCCTAAACCCGAAACCCGAAACCCTAAACCCAAAACCCTAAACCCTAAACCCTAAACCCTGTTACTTCAAGGGGGCGTCCCAAGCCGAGTTCCTCGCGCAGGTCGTCCAGCCCGTGAAGGCTCAGCGGCTTGAGGTGCCTCTTTCAGCACCCTAAGCCCCCCCTAAGCCCCCCCTTCAACCCTAAGCCATAAAACCCTAAACCCTAAACCCTAAACCCTAAACCCTAAACCCTAAACCCTAAACCCTAAACCCTAAACCCTAAACCCTAAACCCTAAACCCTAAACCCCTAAACCCCTAAACCCCCACTAAACCCCCCTAAACCCGCCGAAGACCCCCCACAGAAGCAGGCCCAAGACCGGACCCTAAAATTCTTCCTCTGATGCCCCAGAGGAGCTTATGGGGGAGCCGGAGGAGTGGGCGCAGGGGTTTTCGCTTAGGGCTGACAGTAGCGGTGTCTTATGCTGCCAGAAAGTCAGTGAAGCTCTGTCCTGTGTTTTGTGATGTAGGCTGCAGAGTTCGGATTGAAGGTTTAAGGTTGAAGGCGGCGAGACCCCACACTCGCAAGAAACATGCTCGCAGGTGCGACGTCACGAGGCCAAGTCTAAGGAAGCTACACTGGCCCCCCATTTGAGGGGCACCCTTAAAGGGGAACCCTTCTGAACCCTCTTCTGGCTCTCTTTAAACAGGGACCTTCTTCAGAGGGTCTATATCCTCAAGGGTCCCCCTAATCCTAAACCCTAAACCCTAAACCCTAAACCCTAAACCCTAAACCCTAAACCCTAAACCCTAAACCCTAAACCCTAAACCCTAAACCCTAAACCCTAAACCCTAACATGGGCGCATCGTAGGACGCACGCCTCCAAGGGTCGCTTCACCTTGCTCCGGCTTGGAAAGTACATAGACAGCCGAGCCGAGGCCCTGATCTCTGAACCCGGGTTAAGGGTTTAGGGTTTAGGGTTTAGGGTTTAGGGTTTAAACCCTAAACCCTAAACCCTGAACCCTAAGCCCTAAGCCCTGAACCTTAAACCCCAGTCCCTGTGGTATGGCCCCTTAAAGAACCTCCAGGACGCCTTCCGAAAGTTTTCAGCCGAAGCGCTGGCTGTGGAGGCCTGTCGTGAGTCCAAGCGGCTCCAAGAAGGGATCCGGTTTAGGGTTTTAGGGTATTAGGGCATTAGGGTATTAGGGTTTTAGGGTTTTAGGGTTGTAGGGTTTTAGGGTTTTAGGGTTTTAGGGTTTCAGGGTTTTAGGGTTTTAGGGTTTTAGGGTAGCGAAGTTGTTGCCTGCTTAAGCCAGAGCTCAGCCATGCAATCTCTTTTTCTGCCACTGAACAAGCTTCGCACATGTGGTGTACACCTGATGCGCGCCATTCTTGGGCAGACGTCTCCTCAAAATCATGCTTCCTCCTGCTTGTGGTTTGTAGTCTTCTCTTGCCCCGTGCATGAAAAAGCCTTTATTCCCAAGCTCTTAGTCCGAAATCCCAAGTCTGAGCCATCAACGCCCGTGCTCGGGATCCCAAGCCGCGCAGTGCTCTGGCCAAGGGCTCTGGCAAAGCAGCCCGGTTGGTGTCGGCAGAGCGCACAGAAAGGGGCAGCTACGAGCTTGCCCTTCGGCCCCTCCATTTCGTTCTTTTTTTTTTGGGCTTTTGTTTTTTTGAGGTTCAGAGTTGCTTGGAATTAGGGTCTAGGGTCTAGGGTTACACTTGCAACGACGTCTGGTGGCCCGCGACCTCCAGGTGAGGAGTCCATCCACTGACCGCCCCCCAAACCCCCAAGCCCTTGAAGCCCCAAAGCGCCCCAACCTCAAGCTCGGAGCCAGCCGTAGCCCAGGAATATGTGGTCACCTATCCCGAGAAGGCCCAAAGGGGCTTTGAACCCTAAACCCTAAACCCTAAACCCTAAACCCTAAACCCTAAACCCTAAACCCTAAACCCTAAACCCTTAGAGGGCTGCACAGGTTGCAGATTTGGGTATCTCGCTCTTCTGAGCACCCGTGGGGGATACCTGGAGATGGGTGTTCGGTAAATGCTGCATAGATGTCAGGAGGGGTGCGTGGGTTAGAGGGTTGAGTTTTTGATTCGGGTCTAGGCGGTTTAGGGATTAAGGTTCAGGCTTCTTTTTGGTCTCCCGTAGCGACACAGGCGGGCACAGGGATGAGCTTCACAAGCCGCTCAGTGACAAATGCCCCCCGAACCCCCACAACTAAGTCCTTAGCTTCGAATCAGGGTTCGGAAGGCAAGTTTCTTTCCTCTCACATTCCCGCCAGTGTCTACCAAACCCTGTAACCCTCAAGGAGGGTTCGGGGCCGTTTGAGGGCCCATGGGGGGCCCACAAAAGCTACAGCAGCAAAGTGCTTGAAGCCGGAAGCCGCCAGGACGGCCCCGTGGACATCCACTGCTGGTCCGTGGTGGCCCTCGCGTCGCGGAGATCTGCCAGCGACCTCTACACCATGACCCGAGTGTGTAAAAAATTGTCGGGGTTCGCTTAATCCCCTCCCCCGAGTATTTTTAACATTAGGGGCCCCCTAATATTTTTAATATTAGGGGGTAGGGGGGGGTTAATATTAGGGGGAGGGCATTAGCCAGGAACCTCCCGAACCTCTAACCTCTCAACTAAGCCCAGACCTTTTTTGGCTGGCTGTGAAGCTGAAGCAGAGAAAGCAAAACCCCAAACACCTAGACCAGAAGACCCGAAGTAAAAAGCAGGTTTCATTGCTCTGCTCACAAACCCCGAACCCTTCACCCTAGGACCCTAAGCCCGAACCCGACGCGCTGAGCCCTAAGCCCTCAACCCTGAAGAGGACGCTGGTGTCGCCGGAAAGGATGCTCACGCCTGCGAGCCGCGATCTCTTTCGGGAGTCCTGGCGTAGCTTTGAGCTCGAGGCGGCGTGAAAGGAAAAGAGGCCTCAGCCCTTCTTAGGCTCCTAGGGTTTCGGGTTCAGGGTTTAGGACTTTCGGGTTTAAACGGCTTAGGGTTTAGGATTTAGGGATTAGGGTTTAGGGTTTAGGGTAAAGGGTTAGGATTGGGGTTTAGGGTTCTTCAGGGCTAGGGCTCTTCAGGGTGCCCGCCGGGCCCAGGACTGGGTCTTGAAACCGTCCGTGACTTTATTGAGTTTATGGGGCCTTGCCGGGTTTGAAGGGCTTTCTTAGGGTGTCTTAGGGTTTGGGGAACCCAAGGGAAGATCCGAGCCTCTCCCTTTGTAAGCTTCTCTAACTTCAATAAGCCTTGCTGAGCCTGACCAGTGGAAAGCCCTTAGTTTCGAGGTTTCAGGGTTGGGGGTTGGGGGTTGTGAGAATGAACGTACATATATATATATATATTATACAATATACGAACATGGAAGCATTCGGATATTCGGGTGCGTTGGTGTTTGGGGGGAATCGGTTCGAGCCCCAACACCTGGGACGAAAGGTCGCGCTGACCCTGATCTTCTCGACCATTCTGCCGCTGCCTCAGCCAGTTTAGGAGCCAGGAAATGCTACCAAAAGAGGACCGGATCCAGTTCGAGTGATACTTGAGCCAGACTACGGGCACACGTCTGTAGGTGGTTTTGGGGTTGGGCCATTATTGCCACCAAAAGCAAAATTCCCCGAAAGCCCTGCTTGAAGGAGTCAAGGTTCGTGGGGTACCTTCGAGCAAGGGTGGTGGACATGGGCCAGTTGCATCTGTAACCTTCAAAGAAGTCACGCAACTTCCGCCGTGATGCCCCCCGAGCCCTTTGAAAACAAAGGGCTTCGGGGCTTCAGGGCTTTTTGGGTTCAGGGCTTTCGGCTTTAGGCTTCAGGGTTGAAGGTTTATAGGGTTTACAGGGTTTACAGGGTTTACAGGGTTTACAGGGTTTACAGGGTTTGTAGGGTTTATAGGGTTCATAGGGTTTATAGGGTTTATAGGGTTTATAGGGTAACCCTGAGACCCCCGAAGCCCGAGCTCCGTGAGCCAACCTGCCTTTTGTGGACTCAGAGGACTGGGCGCCGGCGCGCCTCGCTTCGTGGAGGTCTTTTCTGCTGTAGGTTTGCGCTGGAGGGGAAGTTTTGTTTTTTTTAAATATAAGAAGGCTTTTGGGTGTTATGAATGCCCCCCAAACCCTCAACCCAAACCCTGAGCCCCGAAACCTTTCGGGTCTGGGATGTTGAGACGTTGAGGTTTCAGGGTTCCCCGGCCAGAAAACCTGCACCCCAAAACCCCAAAACCCACAGACGCCTCAAACCTCAGTTAAAAACCCTAAACCCTAAACCCTAAACCCTAAACCCTCAACCCTAAACCCTAAACCCTAAACCCTAAACCCTAAACCCTAAACCCTAACGCCCACATTCGGGTAGGCGCCAGCCGGCTCCTTAGCTGGCTTCCTTGGCTGCTGCTGGCGGTGGTCGGGTGGAGGTGGGGCTCCGCAGGTTTTGGTGTTCTTCCTTTTTGGCTCCTTGCGAGTTGTAGGTCTCTTCTTGCATGTAGAGAGGGGTGTGTGTGCAGCCCCAAGCGAAGCCGAAGCTTTAATCAAGGCCTTGGATTGATGGGCTCCACCGCATGTTTGTGTAGGGCTGCCATGCTTGGGACAACCAAATCCTGAAGCCAAAAAGTGATGCAAGCCTGGTTCCAGGCAGACGCGTGCCACACGACTTCATCTGTCACAGCTGATGAAGACGTCTCGGTCCCAGCGACATGAACGAAAACCCTATACTCCGGAACCTTCTTCTTGCTGACCGGGGGCATCCTAACTTGCAAAGCACTCTTGCACGCGCGGTGACGATCTCCTAACTTGGGGCCAAAGTCGCCACCATGTTCTTTTGTTTGCGTAACCGGCCTTTGGTTGAGTACCCAAGTTGTTGTTGGTGTAACATTGAGGGTTGAGAGTTGAGGGTTCCTTCTCTTCTGGCGACGTGGATTTGTTTCAACGTCCGCCTGAGGTGATGAGTTTTTAGCTGCCTCTGTACCAGTGGAAGTATTCGGACTGCCACCAGTAGTCTGTACGCCAGCTCATCCCGGGACCCTCAGCCCTAAGCCCCAGACCCAGGATGCGCTCTCTACCCCTGCTTCGGTTGAGCAGCCTGTTTGGTGGAGGCCCACCCGTCGTGTTTGCACGAGCTAAAGGGAGTCTGTTGGGCACCCACCCAAAACCCCAAAAACCTGAGCCCCTAAGATAGTAGTCCCTCAGAGGGGCACCCCTACACATTCCCTACTGCTTTAAGTCTTCGGGCTACCTTCTTGGGGGAGGTTTGGGGATGAATGAATGATCTCGGAGGTCCCCTGAATCGCTCAACGGCACCTTGAGTAACCTCGCAGGCACTCACCAAGGCCCACAAGGCCCACAACGTTCGTGTTCGCAGCTTTTGCCTTGAGAGGTCCTGGTCAATGTGGACTTATGAGCCCTGAACCAACAAGCTCCAGAGCTTTAACCCCCCACCCCTTAAACAGGCTCTTGTTGGGGAACCTGCAGCTGAAGTTGCCACAAGAAGAGTTTGGGGTTTAAGGGTATTATAGTGAGCTGTAGCGGTTTCCTCATGATGCCTCTTAGCAGAAGTTCCTCAATAAGAACTCAGTTTAGGCTCCAGGGTTTTGTGAGGGTTTAGAGGCTCCCCAAACCACCCCCTAATTCCGCAAGCCTTGTCAGGCGCAGCCTCTGCCGCAGCCCCCGTCGCAGCCGAAGTCGCGACTCCGCCCCCCGCCGCCCGTCTCCTTTGGCATACTCGTAGGGGGTTGTGGACTTCAGGGATTTGCATTCAGCTTTGTTTTAGGGCTCAGGGTTGAGGGCTTTGGGGCTTAGGGCTACTTTGGAAAGGCCTTCTAGCTTTATTCCTCAGCTCTTCCCAATGACGTAGGGGAGTAGGTACTGCGCCGTCATCGACAACCCTGTAAGGGAGCGTCCAGGAGCTCGAAGCCCCAAACCCTAAACCCTAAACCCTAAACCCTAAACCCTAAACCCTAAACCCTAAACCCTAAACCCTAAACCCTAAACCCTACAGCCTGAGCTCTTTCTGCAGTTTTAGCTTTGGGGGACCTTGTCGCGAGGTCAGCCCCCCTCCTGCCAGCGAGCCGTCAGCTCTTGAGTCGTGCACCGAGATGGAGGGCTCTGGGGATTGAGGGTTTTGGGGTGTAAGGATTTTAGGGTTTCGGGTTTAGGGTTTAGGGGTTTAGGGTTCTGTTAGGGAATTCAGGGGTTTTGGGGTTTAGGGGTACTAGGGTTTAGGGTTGCTAGGGTTGAGGGTTTTGTGTTTTGGGGTTTAGGGTTTAGGGGTTTGGTGCTTCAGGGTTTTGGGTTTAAGATTCCAGGGGATCAGTCCTTAGAAGCTTCGAGGTTCAAGGGGCGGGTTTGGGCTTTCTGAGTCCAGAACTTCAACTTGGGACTTGGCCGCTACAGCTTACACCCTGATGCCCGAAAGCCTTGCCAATCGCTTCTTCCCTAAACCCTAAGCCCTAAACCCCAAACCCTAAACCCTAAACCCTAAACCCCAAACCCCAAACCCCAAACCCTAAAGCCTAAAGCCTAAAGCCTAAAGCCTAAACCCTAAACCCTAAACCCTAAATCCTAAACCCTAAACCCTAAACCCTAAACCCTAAACCCTAAACCCTAAACCCTCTCTTGCTATGTATATTTAAACCCTAATGACCTTCGTCGGCATATTGTTTTTTTCTGGGCCCTAAACCCTGACCCCCTTCGTCGGCATATTGTTTTTTTCCCCCCTGGTGGGCCCTAAACCCTGACGCCCTTCGTCGGCATATTGTTTTTTTTCCCCTGGTGGGCCCTAAACCCTGACCCCCTTCGTCGGCATATTGTTTTTTTCCCCCCTGGTGGGCCCTAAACCCTGACGCCCTTCGTCGGCATATTGTTTTTTTCCCCCCCTGGTGGGCCCTAAACCCTGACGCCCTTCGTCGGCATATTGTTTTTTTCCCCCCTGGTGGGCCCTAAACCCTGACCCGCTTCGTCATATTGTTTTTTTCCCCCCTGGTGGGCCCTAAACCCTGACGCCCTTCGTCGGCATATTGTTTTCTTCCCCCCCTGATGGGCCCTAAACCCTGACGCCCTTCGTCGGCATATTGTTTTTTTCCCCCTGGTGGGCCCTAAGCCCTGACGCCCTTCGTCGGCATATTGTTTTTTTTTCCCCTTGGTGGGCCCTAAACCCTGACGCCCTTCGTCGGCATATTGTTTTTTTTTTTCCCCCTGGTGGGCCCTAAACCCTGACGCCCTTCGTCGGCATATTGTTTTTTCCCCCCTGGTGGGCCCTAAATCCTGACGCCCTTCGTCGGCCTTTTGTTTTTTTCCCCCCCTGGTGGGCCCTAAACCCTGACGCCCTTCGTCGGCCTTTTGTTTTTTCCCCCCTAATGGGCCCTAAACCCTGACGCCCACATATTGTTTTTTTTTCTTCTGGTGGCCCCACCACGCCCCCCCCCCACCCTTCCCACCCCCACCACCCCCACCCCCCCCGCCACATCGTGAGATTTCGGGTTTTGGGGCAACTGGACCCCCCACCCCCCTTCCCGCCCCCCAACCCCCCCTATTCCCATCCATCATGTGAGGAAGTTTGAGAGTTAGATTTCGGGTTTTGGGCCAACTGGACCTTGAGCTTTAAGTCTACTGGGAATGTATTGAGTGAACTTTGTATTTTCTCAATGTTATGGGTTTCTTGGGTGGGTGGGTTTTTATTCCAACGCTTGACAAGCTGCTTGACTAGTGAATGCTCGGACTTGAGATGCTGAACCCTAAACCCAAAACCCTAACCCCTAACCCTAAACCCTAAACCCTCAACCCTAAGCCCTAAACCCTAAACCCTGACAGGTCGGACAGAGATTCGCCCAAGGGCTCGGCGACCTCCACAGTGCTGCGCAGCGAGCAGGACCTCGGCTCCTTGGAGAGGGTTTGGGGTTTAGGGTTTAGGGTTTAGGGCTTAGGGTTTAGGGTTTAGGGTTTAGGGCTCCTTGTGGAGGGTTTGGGGTTGCTAGGGTTACTAGGGTTACGAGGGTTTAGGGTTTAGGGTTTCGGGTTTAGGCAGGGTTTAGGGTTTAGGGTTTAGGGCTTAGGGTTTAGGTTTTAGGGTTTAGGGGTTTAGGGGATTTGGAGGTAGTTCTCAGCAGGGTTTGACTGCTTGGGGTTTTGGGGTTCAGTCGGGTGCGTTGGGCGCCTGTATAGGGCTCAGCCCTGCTTGGAACGCCAGCCATGAACCTTCAGGAGCTGCAGGGGCTTCGGGGTCCCCAAGAAAAAGTCACAATCGTGGGGGTCTAGGGTTTGGGTTTTAGGGTTTAGGGCCTCAAAAACTCGGGCCCGTATTGTGACGCTTTCTGAGTATATGTGGGGCTGCGACCTTAGGGTTCGAGCTTCACCCTTCATCGGGGCCCACAAGTTCCAGCCGTTGTGCGATTTTGTTTTGCCTTTTTTCTTTTCTCTTGGCAAAATTAGCCTAATCAGAAGCCAGACTTGTCCAGCAGCGGCCGCTTGTGTGGCTGCACTCTGGATTACAAAGCCATCGCCTACCCGTGCCCAACCCCAGCGGGTTTCAATGTCTCAGGTGGGACCTTGGGGTTCGAGCTTCATCTTTAGTCCGGGCCCACAAGTTCCAGCCGTTGTGACATGTTACGTATTCTGCTTTTTGTATAGTCTGTTTTCTTGGCGGATTGGACCAGGCTGCCGCGGAAACCAGAAGCCAGATTTATCCAGCTGCGGCCGTTTGTGTGGCTGCACTCTGGATTGCAAAGCCATGGCCTTCCTGTGCTTAACCCCAGCGGATTTTCTATGTCTCAGGTGGGACATTACGGTTCGAGCATGTTTATGCCTGTGGCTTGCGTTGGAGTGTTTCCGAGCGCGCTTCAACCGTTGAGCAGCTGACACCGAGGCAGGTAGGTTTGCGCTGGGGTAGGTCGGGCTAATGGCCAGCGCACACCACGAACCCTAAACTACGACGTACAGCTATTTGTACTTGCTGGCGTCAGCGAGGCCACTGGTCTTTGACATCAGGAGCGTCTGTGGGGGCGCCAGCCGCCATCAGCGTGATTTCGGAGAACTCATTGACCTATCTTTGCAGCCAAAACACCGTGTCTCTGCATCTGCGTGCTGTCGGTCGGCTGATTAGGGTTCACGTTTTGCGTGATCAGCAGCACAATTGTGCAATGGTGTGATTGCGCGTGTTGCGCGTGGGGTTTGGCATCGCAGCGATATGATATTGTATGATGTTCCGAGTGACAGTCTTTTTTGTTTGCGTCTGGCAAGTTGAATGTAAGCCAACAGTTTGGAGATGGAGTGGCAATCTGAGAGGCCCACGTTGAACACCAGCCTCACTGCTGCGCATTGCCGGTGTTCATCAGAGGTTCCACTTGTTTGTATGCCACACATTGGCCCCAAAGGTGGTCAGTTGTGTGCGCTGCCGATATGTCCTGGCTGCAAGGGGGCCCTATCACAGGCCAGGTTCATGGCATGAATGCAAGCCAAATGTGAGAATTCACATCAGCCATGCACATGCTGGCGGTGTGGTGGAAACGTGCTTGGCAGGAACCATCTATTTGTGACACTTTCCCAGCCAACTTCCCCATCACTGCATGTTGTCCGAGGGAAGCTGCAGCATCCAGTGTTGCGATTAGATTCGGAAACGGCGCTGAAAGGTATATGGTACGCAGAGTCAACATGGGAGCGGTTTCTTTGCTGCTATGCCTGTGCAGTGACCACCGCGGGTGTCACAGCTATGGATGTACACTCGGCACCATCCTGTCATGTGTACCTACAAGACCGAGGCTCAAATGCCAACCTGCGGCGGGTTCATTGGAACTTTGTGCTGTGGCCAAAAGCCAGAAGCCGCCTGCTTAGGCAATCGTGCGTTGCGGCTCAGATGTGCGACGGTGTGCGAGAGAGGCTCCCGCAGTCCAAGAGCGGAGCAGTTAGCTGAGCTTCGTTGGCATCATGTGTGTGTGTGTGTGTGTGACTCGGGGTGGGCCAGTCCCCAATGTGTTCCGACCGGTGTCCGACCGCCTACGCCCAAAGTGGTACCGCAAGAATCCCCAAAACCCCAAAAAACCTACAGCCCTTAAATCCCCAAGCGTGATTTCCCAGGTGCGGCGCCTACAGAACCTTCAGCCTCCCTGGCACGGCTGGCAGGCCGTGTCAGGCCTGAAAGTTGGGGGCGTTGTGGGGTTCCCATCTAAAGCTCTTCGAGCTTGGATCGCCCAACTCCGCTTTGCCCTCTCTTACAGATGATGCCGATACCATTGCTGCTCGAATGTGGCTTGCATGGCCAAGCTCAGCATGGCTAACTGCAGATGATACAGGCACACATCGAGTAGTAGGTTTTTGAGAGTCGCGTTGTACAGATAGGCGATACAGAAGAGACAGTCAGACAGACCAGCAGGCTTCATGTGTTCTTCTTGTGTTGCTGTGCTGTGCTTAAAAGCTGTGTCTGCGCACTCCGCGAATTCGCGCCCCAAGCCCCAAGACCCCAAGACCCCAAGACCCCAAGACCCCAAGACCCCAAGACCCCAAGACCCCAAAACCCCCAAAACCTCCCCTAAGCCCTATTTTGCGCAGAAGGGTCGGTTCCGCCGCCAAGTCAGCCCGAAAGCCTCGAGGCTCGGACCCCAGCCCTCTCGAAAGCCTGTAGGGTTTCGGGGGTGTTTTTGGGGGGTCGGCCCGTAAGAGCCCCATCAAAAGGCCCGAGAGGCATGAAGGGCTCCATAAGCTAGCGATTTTTTGGGAAGTTGGGAAATGAGGAATTCTTGAAGGGTTTTCCTATGGATATACGGTACCTAGCTCCCGAAGTCCCTACTAAAGAACTAGTAAGCTAAGCCCTGCAAGCCCTAAACCTTAAACCCTAAGCCCTAAACCCGAAACCCTGGACACCCCTAAACCTTAAACCCTATAAGCCCCAAAGGAGGGCGACGCGCCGGCGGCCTTGAGGCGGCTGCTGCAGCCCGTGGGGCTCGACGTCTACACGGCACGAGGGGGAGAAGAGTGTTTAAACTTTAGAAGGTTTAGGGTTTAGGGTTTAGAGTTTCGAGGGCCTATAGGGTTCAGGGTTTAGGGTTTATAGAGTGAATAGGGTTTGGGGTTCAGGGCCTATAATAGGGCTTAGGGCTGGGTTCAGGGTTTATGGCCTATTACAACCTCTGGGGGCCACAGGGAGGGAAGAGAGTCGGACGCTGCATTTTGGATGTTGGTTGGTGAGGTTCAAGGGGGCTTGTGTGGAGGTTTTCGGTCAACTCAAACCCTACGCCTAGACTATCCTAGACTGCTCAACCCTTCTAAACCCCAAGCCTAACTCTCCCACGTTAAACCTGAAGCTCGGCTGGGAAGGATTTCAGGGATACGATTCAAAAAGCCCTAATTTCCTAAACCCAAGGCTCTTCCATGTGCCTCAGCTTCTGTGATGCGGTGTTGCTACCCGCCCGCCCGGAAAGAATTCTCACCAAACTCAAAACGCCATTCGGTTTGTGCTTTTAGGGGGTTTAGCGGTGAAGGGTTTGGTTTCGTGGTTTCCCCGCAGAGCGCTCCGAGCAGGAGCGGCTGCTGGCGGAGGGCTACGACACGGAGGCCATCCATGTTGGGGAGGGCGGTTATGTGGGCAATCATGCTACGTATGTTCAAGAGCAACCCTGATCCATGCACCCCAATCAAATGCTAATTTGGGCGGTGTATCAGACCCAAGCCCAAGATCCGCAGACTTTTTGAATGCAGTTTGAGTTTCAGCTTGACATGTGTTTCTTGATTGTGCTCCTTGTTGGGAGCAATTTTACCTTAAACCCGCACCCTAAACCCTAAACCCCAAACCCTAAACCCTAAACCCTAAACCCTAAACCCTAAACCCTAAACCCTAAACCCTATAAACCCTATAAACCCTAAACCCTAAACCCTAAACCCTAAACCCGAAACCCTAAACCCTAAACCCTAAACCCGCTTGGGGTATGGACCTTCTCGCCTTTGCGCGGCAGGCTCTGACGATGCTGGAGGGCACCGAGCGGGAGGAGATGTTGAAGCCGCATGCCTTCACAGCAGGAGGGTGTTTCAGCGTTTCGGGTTCCATCCTTAGGGCATCTGGTATCTAGGATGCCATAGAACTTCATGGTTTTCCGGGTTCAAGAAGGATTTTGGGGGTTCAGGCGTTGGGCTTGCGGCTCTCATCGCCCGGTGAAGGGGGCCTGGCGGCTTGCATGCGTATTGCAGGGCTTCCCTATGCCGAGAGTACCTTCCTAGTTGGAGAAGTAAGCCCCAAACCCTGAAGCTCTGCATCCCGTTCCCTGCGTCCCCACTGAGGATTATCCAATGCCTGCCGGGGCACAAGGCGCGACCCTGAAACAGCTGAGTTTGGACTTTAGGGTTTGTGCGCTCGACTAGGGCTTGAGCTGGTTTAAAGTTTTACGCTGTGCCGTTAGGCTTGAGAGGTTATGTTTGGGTTGTCATGAGGTTCAGGGCTCGGGGTCTATGGGACTTAGGAGATGCAAAGAGTCAAAGTTCAACCGGGGGCCCCTTTAGTGGCCCCCAAAATGACCCCTTCCTCCCCCCCAAACTGTGGACCCAAAATGCCGGAGCCACGCCAAAACAAAAAGCCGGAAACCCAAGCGCCTTCCCTAAAATCCGGAAGTTCTTCTGGGAGCAATTTCCCCGGCCTGGGCTTGACCCCACCCCGAAACTTAAACGACACCCGGAAAACTGGGCTGTTAAAAAGGGGGGGGGGTTAGGGTTTAGGGGTTTAGGGGTTTAGAGGTTTAAGGTTTTGGCGGTTTCGGAGACATCCAGGGATTAGAGGGGCCGCGGGTTTCGGGAGTTTGGGCTCATGGTCTAGGTTCACAGCTGTAATGGGAGGCTTAGGGCGGGCTTGCCGTCAGCATCCGGAGCTCTAGATTAAATCCTAAACCCTAAACCCTGAACCCTGAACCCTGAACCCTGAACCCTAAACCCGTAAACCCCTAAACCCAAAGATTGGGAGGGCGCTCGCCAGGTGAAGTTCCGAAAGCTCCTCTGGCGAAGCCAAAGCTGAGGAAGCTCGGGTCATGGGTAGATATCGCTGGGGTTCCGGGTGTTTCGGGTGTTGAGGGTTCCGCCTTTAGGGGGGAATAAAGTTTCGGGTTTAGGCCTCAACCCTAAATACCAAAAAGAAAAACCCAAGCCCTTCAACCCACTGAGTCTCATCTCCCTTCCGTCTTCCTGCTTCTTCTTTTTGCAGCCCCGCCCTGCCAACTTTGAGGTGTGCCCGTCCGTACAGAGAGCTCAGTATTTGCCTGCTAGCTCGAGGGTAGGAAGGACGGCGCTTGACACTTTTGCCTGTGACGGAAACCCGGACCCCCAAGCTGTTAATGCGGTCGAGCTCTGATCACCGTGGACGGCAGGTCAGCTGTGCAAGTGTCCCTAGAACCCGACTGAACAGCAGCTAGGTCAGACTCCCCCCCCCCCCCCCCCAACCCGCAAAAAACTACAGTGACAAACTCCAAACCCAAGAGCCCTAAGCTCCGGAGCATGTAACCCTGCTGCATGCGTGCAAGGAGTGAAAGTCTAGCACCTGGCCCCGAATCTGAAGACCCTGAACCTCCCCAAAGCCCTCGATTGCTCCTTAGCAGCTGATGCCGCCTTTCCGAGCCAACACCGGACACAGGGGCCCTGCCTTGGGGGCCCCAAAAAGCCCCCGAGCCCGAAGCCGCTGTGTGTACCGGTCTGCGCCGGTGCACGAAAAAGCTTTGCGGATGGGGGCTTGTCCCCTAAAACCCTGACAAACCCCATGGTTTTCAGGAGCAAGCACAAAAGACCCATTCTAATGAGGTAGGCCCCGAGAACAAACACTAAACGCCCCGAACCCTACACCCTTCAACCCCTAAACATCTACACTACACCCTCACTAAAAGCCCTCAACCCTAAAGACACCCCCCCCCCCCTCCATAACCCTGAAGCACTCTTAGCGCTTCCCCCCAGACACCTCTTGTCATGAGGCGCCCGAAATCCCTTACTTGAGGGTTTACGGTGTTTGGGGTCTACGGTGTTTCTCTAAACCCTCATTCCTAAACCCTAAACCCCGGGACTTAGGGTTGTGGAGGTTTAGGAGTTTAGGGTTATGAGTTTCAGGAGCCACCACCCCATCGGGCTCCCAAGACCGAACACTAAACCGACCTAACAAAAGAATGTGACAGGGTTTAGGGTTTAGGGTTTAGGGTTTCGGGAACCCACTCACCAAAAAGCAAGTGACCCTCCCCTAAAAAGGGGCACTTTCTGGGCAAATGCGCTCATTGGTTTGCCGCTTCAGCTCACAGAAGTTTCAAACGAGTTGCCTGGCCTTGGGAGCTGGGGGAGCCATGCCTCGTGCGGCTCGGCAGGTTGAGGATCCCCAAAATGCCTTGGGATTTGGGGCTCGGGGAGTTTAGGGGGTTTAGGGGGTGTAGGGGGTGCAGGGGTTTAGTGGGTTTAGGGGCGTTAGGGGGCTTTAGGGAGTTTTTAGGTAGGGAGTTTAGGGAGTGTAGGGCCCAGTGAGGTCCCAGGTTTTCTTCATGGCAGTTTATGCCAAAGTTGGGTCGTTGTGGGCGGGCTTAGTGGAAGGTTCGCGCCCGCCCCCCCTTCCCCCAACAAAAAGATGGACAAAAAACAACAATAAAAACAAATGCACACACTTACACAAAGGCTGTGCCCGATTCTGGCTGCGTTGACTGTCATGCTTGCCGATTCATCCAAGCTGTTTCCCTCCAAAGCCCAAAACCCAAAGCCCAAAACCCAAAACCCCGAAGCCCCAAAACCCCAAATCCCAAACCCCGAAGCCCCTAAACCCCTTTAGACTAAGTCCCGAACAGACCTGAAGCCCCTGAAGCCTCAGGTGCCCTAAACCTTCTAAAAGCCTGAACCCCTGAAACCTCCCCCCCTGCCCAAACCCTAAACCCTTAACCCTAAAACCTAAACCCCTAAAGCCCAGGTATGGCGTTCTCGGCCCAGGGCCGACGCCGTTCCTCCTTTAGAGGCGGGGTTACGGTTTACAGTTTGGGCCGTGATTTTAGGGTTTGGACATTTATAGGGTTTAGGGGTTTCAGGGTTTAGGGGCAAGGGTGTTTTCCATGGATCGGCATTCGGGCTTCAAGGGGCTCAGTTTACGGGTTCGGTTTATGGGTTAAGGGCTTAGGGATGTTTAGTTTAGGGTAAGACCCGAGTGCACAAGCCCAAAAGCCCCTCAAGCCCATAACCTTAAACCCATAGGCTGAAAGCCTCTTGCAACACTTAAAAAGGCCGTAAAAAGGCCCAGGACGACGGCGCGAGATTTTCATTCCCCCTAGAACCCTAACCCCTTAAACTCCCAAACCCCATTAACAGCCCTAAAAAGCCTTCAAGCCCATAACCGAAACCCTAAACCCTAAGAATCCTTAATAGCCCTACAAAGCCCAGGACGACGGCGCGAGGTTTTCATTCCCCCGAAGACCCTGAAACCCTGAAACCCTGAAACCCTGAAACCCTGAAACCCTGAAACCCTGAAACCCTGAAACCCTAAAACCCTAAAACCCCAAAACCCTGAAACCCAAGAACCCCAAAAACCCTAAAACCCTAACACCCTAACCCCTTAAACTCCAAGACCTCCTGAAGAGCCCTAATAAAGCCCAGGACGACGGCGCGAGATTTTCATTCTACACTAAGCGGCCAGAGCCCGCGGCCCGGCCACGGCTTCGGTCCGAATCTTCAGGCGGCGGGGGTTAGGGGGGGGGTTTAGGGTTTAGGGTTTAGGGTTTAGGGTTTAGGGTTTAGGGTTTAGGGTTTAGGGTTTAGGGTTTAGGGTTTAGGGGTGTAGGGGTTTTGGGTTTTGGGGTGTAGGGGTTTAGGGGTTATAGGGTTTAGGGGTGTAGGGGTTTTGGGTTTTGGGGTGTAGGGGTTTGGGGGTTATAGGGTTTAGGGGTTGTATGTAGGGTTTAGGGCTTTAAAGGGTTTAAGGGGGCGAAACCCTGGCTGAGGGTGGCTGAGGGGTTGAGGAGCGTGGGGTTTCAGGGTTCAGGGTTTGGGGCTGTGCGCGCGAGTCTTTGGGGTTGTAGGGCTGTCTTAGGGCTTCAAGGAAGGGTTCGTGCTTTAGTGGGGTTCAGGGGTTCCCTAAGCCCGCCGGTTTAGGGTTTAGGGTTTAGGGTTTAGGGTTTAGGGTTTAGGGCTTTGGGAACCCCGAAAACCTCAAACTCTGAAATCTAGAGAACTCTGCAGCCGAAAGCCCTAGGAGCCCCAAGCGCCCTGAAACCTGAAATGCCCTAGTGTAGAAGCCCTCAGGGCTCTGAACCTTCCTTCAGGGGACATCTCCACGACTTTGGTTTCTTCCGGGCAAGAAGCGCTGCCAAAGCCGACGCCGGGGGGCAGCATTGAGAGCAGGGCCTCAGGGGTTTCGGGGTATTTGGGGTGTAGGGCCCCAATCAGCCAAATCATTCGAAAACTCTATATCCCCGCAGCTCATCATCAAGGGGGCTTTGTGGGGGCTTCGGGGAATGTAGGGGGGTAACCCTGAGGCTTTCAGAGCTTGACTTTGTTCAGGGTTTGTGTTCCCAAAAACTGGGCTTTTGGGCTGTAGGGGTTGAGGGCGGTAGGGCTTCAAGCGAAGGTGATAAGTTGGGGAACGACTATAAGCTGACCAAGAGATATTTTTCGGGGGGGGGGGGGTTTAGGGCTTTGGTGTTTAGGCGTTGAAGTCCTTCAGGGCCTGGAGGATTGTTTTGGGCTTATGGGGTTTGGTGTGCTGGGTTGGTTGGTTGGTTGTGAGTGTGTGTGAGTTTGTGTGTGTGTGTGTGTGTGTGTGTGTTGGTTTTGGTTTGGTGGTTCCCTTTGTTCCGGGTTGAGTGTTGAGGGCTTGAGCCCCTACGCCAGATGGCCAAGGATAGTCAGGCGGTCCTACTACGACCCAGCTGTGCAACTTGGCCACCCTCAGCCTTAAACTCTTAGGCTTGCGCTGTTCCCCCTTATGCTAGCAGTCCTTAATCGGGATTTTACTAGGGCAGGTACTGAAGGGCTGTAAGGGGGTACATCCCAATCTATGGCCCGAAAGCCGAAACGACCCCAAAACCTCTCAAGCCTGATGGCCCTTAAGCCCCCAAGCCCTAAACGCTCCAACGTCGAAGCTCCCTGAACGACACAACTCGCAAACGCTCAGGCTCAGCCCGAAACGCTGAAGTTTGCCAACCCTCAACCACCATAAAGAACCCTCTAGTCCCGGTAGAGCCCGAAGCCCGACACTCCGAGCCCGAAAGGATGTAAGCTACTTCAAACCCTTTAAGCCTAACTACCCTGAACAGCCCAAAGCACCCAAATCTAAGCAACAAAGCAAGCCAGTACCAAAAAAAACGCCCTCAACCCTGACCCCTAATCCCTAACCACATTACCCCCGGGCCCCCCTTCTTACCCTGCGCCCTACCTTCCCTAAACCTAAATTATCCAAAGCCTTCCTCTCTCGACACTCAACCCCAAGTCTTGTTGAGGTGCTGCAGTTTGGGCATTCACGGTTTAGGGCTTGCGATTAGAATTCAATTGGGTTCAGGTATGGTTAAGGGCACATAGGGTTGCGAGCCTTGTGCCCAAAATAGAGCCTTAGGGGACTTTGGGGGACCACAGGTAGCAGTGGAAGGCAAACTGATGAAGGCACGACTTAGTAGCTGAGTGAGCCCACTTTACACTTTTGGGATACTGTAATCCCTTATCTAGCTGAAAGTGTACACTTTTGGGGGGGTTAACTGAGACGACAGAACCCCATGCGGAAAACAAAAAACAAACTTGCATCCGAGCCCCGGCCTGAGGCGAGCGAGAGAGCAGGTCATTTCGGTCAAGCCCAGTCACAAGCACTGCGTGCAGAAGGCACGGGGCGGGCCGGCGGGCCCCGCACCATTGGGGCCGTTGAGGGCCTAGGGACTTTAGGGTTTAGGACCTCGCCCGGCGACTTCCCCGACAAACAGAGGACAAAACGGCGACGGCAAACAACCAGGGCGTGCCCCGCAGTGTGCAGAAACAAAAGAGCCAAAAGCGCGCCCTGCTGCCGCAGCGGCAGCCAGAAAG